CACAAGCATTGTCATCAATCACCAAAACATCTTGGGGATAAATATGCCCTTACACCAGCCCATATTGTTGTTTTATTGCCTGTTTCGGTATTTCGAAGAAAAGGAATATCAAACGGAGTCCAAACAGAATGAAACCTTCGGGAGCGTGATTTTTGGAAAGGATATGATCCGGGAGAGTTGGAGTTCAAGCCAGGGAAGGCTCAAGGAAGCCAGGAGATAGGAGGGCACGCCCACCCCTGTCTTATGGGCCCCTCGAGGCTCCCCCGACCGACTTCTTTCGCCTATATAAGTCCACGTACCCTAAAAAATCCTAGAGGAAGATAGATCAGGAGTTCCACCGCGCAAGCCTCTGTAGCCACCAAAAACCTCTTGGGAGCCCGTTCTGGCACCCTGTCGGAGGGGGGATCCCTCACCGGTGGCCATCTTCATCATCCCGGTGCTCTCCATGACGAGGGGGGAGTAGTTCACCATCGATGTTGAGGGTATGTACCAGTAGCTATGTGTTTGATCTCTCTCTCTCTCTCTCTCTCTCGTGTTCTCTCTATGGCACAATCTTGATGTATCATGAGCTTTGCTATTATAGTTGGATCTTATGATGTTTCTCCCCCTCTACTCTCTTGTGATGAATTGAGTTTTCCCTTTGAAGTTATCTTATCGGATTGAGTCTTTAAGAATTTGAGAACACTTGATGTATGTCTTGTCGTGCTTATCTGTGGTGACAATGGGATATTCACGTGATCCACTTGATGTATGTTTTGGTGATCAACTTGCGGGTTCCGTGACCTTGGGAATCTATGCATAGGGGTTGGCACACATTTTCGTCTTGACTCTCCGGTAGAAACTTCGGGACACTCTTTGAAGTACTTTGTGTTGGTTGAATAGATGAACATGAGATTGTGTGATGCATATCGTATAATCATGCCAACGGATACTTGAGGTGACAATGGAGTATCTAGGTGACATTAGGGTTTTGGTTGATTCGTGTCTTAAGGTGTTATTCTAGTACGAACTCTTGAATAGATTGATCCGAAAGAATAACTTTGAGGTGGTTTCGTACCCTACCATAATCTCTTCATTTGTTCTCCGCTATTAGTGGCTTTGGAGTGACTCTTTGTTGCATGTTGAGGGATTGTTATATGATCTATCTATGTTATCATTGTTGAGAGAACTTGCACTAGTGAAAGTATGAACCTTAGGCATTGTTTCCTACCATTGCAATACCATTTACGCTCACTTTTATCATTAGTTACCTTGCTATTTTTATATTTTTAGATTACAAAAACCTTTATCTACCATTCATATTGCACTTGTATCACCATCTCTTCGCCGAACTAGTGCACCTATACAATTTACCATTGTATTGGGTGTGTTGGGGACACAAGAGACTTTCTGTTATTTGGTTGCAGGGTTATTTGAGAGAGACCATCTTCATCCTACGCCTCCCACGGATTGATAAACCTTAGGTCATCCACTTGAGGGAAATTTGCTACTGTCCTACGAACCTGTGCACTTGCAGGCCCAACAACATCTACAAGAAGAAGGTTGTGTAGTAGACATCAGTCGGCGTAGTGCTATGCCTCGAGAACTATGGAGCAAGTGTTCTCATCCCATGAGGCGCCGCTAAGGTCTCTCAGCTTGGACACTTGGATCCATCGACTTCTCCACTTCCTCAGGTGGTTGTACACCTGGGTGGCAGACACCTCTTACCCACAGAACTCGAACACCTGCTTCGCAACGGTGTTCAAGTGCACCTCCTTGAAGCCCTTGTCAGTCCTAACTCCACTAGAGATGAGCTCACACATCTTGTTCAACATGAACATGGACACGAACGGTTGTCACTTCATGTTGTTCGACCTACCATCCTTCTTTGCCTTTGCTGCTGCTAGCTTGATTGCAGCGGCAGCAACAGCAGCAGCGGGAGTTGGCTCAACGAGCACTACTAACACATAGAGGGAATCAGACGTGAACACCTCTGAATCAGGTGCCATCTCGGACATAGGCCGCAAGTCCTCGACAAACGATGGAGCAAACTGGCTGTCGGACACGACAAGGGGCTGACTAAGATTTTGTGTCTGTGTGGTCATGTCCTACAATCGTAGCATGCATTGACAGTAAGCATAGCACACAACATACCGGACAATCCATGAAAGCAGAAGCATACATGTACATTGTTCATCACTATTATAGTAAGCACATGCTTCATCGCTATCATACCAAGCATACCGGACAATCTATGAGCAGGAACATACATCTACAACAAACAACATGCTACAAATGGACCACCAATAGCTACAAATCACAGATCTAAGCATGATTCAACACAAGCACAAGGTTCAACTTCAAACTCTACTACTAATCTAGCCTACCACATGCTTGAACATCTAGCCCTACCACAAATTGCAACCGCAGCATAGCAACCAACCATATCAGCTCACAGATCAGACCACTAATCGACCATGCATCTAGATCAAACCCTAGCTGCAGCTCAGATCTAGCTAGAAGGAACAGAGAGAAAGGGGGATTGAACTCACAGAGGCCATGGTTGCATCTTGAGGACAAGGGGGGACGGTCGTGGAAGATCAACGCCGGTCGGTGAAGGAGTGCCGACGCCGTGGACTGCCAGCCGATGAAGATGCGCCGCTTACCTGCTCGTCGGTGCCGATGCGCGTCGGCCGGAAAGCTCGAACGGAGGAAGAATGATGGCGGGAGTTGGGGCGGTGAGGGAGGGGCTAAATAGGGGTGGACTCGGCGGGAGGTGAGTCGAAATCCTCCCGTCGATTTTTTGGCGACGCGGGCGAGCTCACGCCATCTCCCCTGCTCGCACGAGGGGAGAAGCGCGTCGCCCTCCCCTGCCTCGCCCGAACCAGGCTCGCGAGCTACTGCCGATTCAGGCGTTTCTTGGGCCTGGTCTGAACGTGCTTTAAGTTCCGTGCGACGCGGACCGCAACGCAGACAACTAAACGGGCCACTTTCTTCCCGCGCGGACCAGACTGGGCCTAATACGGGCAATATACCTGGCCATACCTCGGTCCAGGCCGGGCCTAACCAAGCCCGATGCAAAAAACTCAGGCCTGGGCCTAGCCCTGCCAACAGGCCTGTTTTCTGAGCCCGAGCCCGACCCGAACACATAAAAGCCCGTTGGGCTCTGGGCCGGGCCGGGCCGGCCCGACTTTCAAAAAACGCAAAAATGACGGGTCCGGACCCAGCCTTCCAGCTTAAAATCTAGGCCCGAGCACGGTGCAGGGGCAGCGTCAGACCGGACCGGATCGGGTCAGGCTGCCCATGGCCAGGACTAGCGGGCAACCAAACACGCCCTAGAGAAAGAGGAGTCCTGAAGATTTGGCTGGGTGGCTGGGAGCCTCGGACTGGTGGCAGCACCCGACAGGCTGCGAGATATATACATTGAATAGTAAGATTGGACAGAGTACGTGGCACCCGTAAATATCGCGGGCATGGGGCTGCAGGAAAAGCGCAAAGCGCGCCGAGATATTTTGGTTGACTGGCTGGATCCAAAAAAGAAATCATCCACCTGCCAGTGTTTACATGGCCGAGAAGCTGCTACGTCACCCCGGCCACTCCACCGTCCTCCCCGCGCCACTCCTCTCCCCGCCCTCCTACGCCTTTAATGGCGACAAGACGCGGCCGTATGTGTACCAACCAACCACAGCTTCTTCTCCCTAATCCTGCGCGAGGCGGAGAGGGAGAGGAATCATTCCCCGCCGGAAAGCCTCGCCGCGCGCCCACACGTTTTTATTCCGCGATTGGGACGGCGATGCGCGCGCGGAGCGGGAAAGGAGTGGCGGGGCTGAGCGCTCGGCCATGCTAGCTCTTGGCTGGGGCGCAAGTGGATTCACGGACAGGTGCCGCCGCCCGCCGCCGCTAGTTGCTAATTTGTGGTCTTTTAAGCCTTTCTGAGTAGTTCTGGACCAGAGGAGCCCCGAGCGAACGGCTTAGGTTCTTGGCCGGACTGTTCTTGCCGGAGCTTGGTGGTTCCTGAACTCGCGGCTGAGGCGCTCTGATCTGATTCTGTCGGAGAAAGGAGGCGAGCGGTCGCCGAGGTAATTCAGAATTTCCCTGTTCTCTCTTGAATGGCTACTTGTTCTTTTTTGGGGTAGATTTCTTGATTCATGTCACCAGTCTCAGCTTCGGGGTTCCTTGAAAGTTATACTAACAATTAACGAGCACCTCCATGGTTCCCCTTTCCTCTGTGCCCTCCATAATTCTTCGAAATGTGCATCTCACTGAGTTCTATCATGTCTTGTATTTTCGTCACGTCTATCCTGTGTTGTTTGCCGCATTGTTGGATAGACCCAAGAAAAAAAATTCTCTACTGTCATAGATTCATCCACTTACGCCTGTTAATGCTCTTAACACGTGCGCCATTTAGAAGTATGATCTGCGTTCATGCTTGTATTGTATTTAGCCCTTGCTTTGGAAGCCGGGAAGTAAGTATGTAGCGCAAAGCACCAATATTGTGCAAGATTCATGACATGAACAGTGTCATGAGCAGTGTCAGAAGAAAAAAAGGAAATAAGTACAGGAGTCTGAGCAAGTTTCATGACAATTAAAACTTAAAAGAACCATCAGAATGACTTCATAGAATGGTCAAAGTTTACCATTTTACTAGTCTTCTCCTTACTATTTGGTACTGTGCCAATCTATAACATGTTGTGGAACATGTCAAGTACAATCGAAATTACTGTTATTTTACTAAATTGGTGGCACTTTGCATAATTTGTGATAAATGGGTGATTTGAAGTTTGAACTATCAACCCTATATTTCGTCTTTGTGCAAAATGTGCAAATTCACATTTACGTGTGTCAATTTGTGTAAAATTTAGCAGCTATTGTTGTCCTCCAGCTCTTTCTTTCATTTCTTCTTTATACTAGTTTCATTTGGCATAGACAGGTATATCACACCACAAAATGACTTACTTCATTCTTTTCCTGTTTGCTGCAGAAGCTTCAGGCAATTTTCTTGAACTGAACTGCATATAGTCATGTCTGGTGGTGCTTCCAAAAGATTTGGTGAGAATGAAGACTTTGAACTTCTGCTGAGCAAAAGTGATATCAGAGAATCATCTTACCGCAAGCACTCCCTGTGGATGGCACACTGGACAAGAGATGGCCACAGTGCAGAACCTCAAAATAGCAAGAGCTGTAGTCCGTTTGAGGAAATCGATGATGTCGGATATTCAAAAGATTGTGGGAATTTACCTTTTGAGCTCATGAAAGCTAGGATGGCTGAAAGTTTGATGGTTGGAGTTAGCCATGGAGGTGCATCTTCCGGGAATACACAGCAATTCAGTTCTAATACGTGGGGTGTAGCACATGATGTTTGCCAAGAAGTTCAATGCAAGAATACTGATCAGTTTAATAGACCTTTCGAAAGATCTATGGTACAGAAAAATCTGAATGTATATGCTGCTAAGACAGTGATATCAGAAAGATTTTCTGTACATAAGCCTTCAGATTTATCTGTGGATTCTCATAAACTTTTGAGCTCTGACAATCTGAGTTCAGAATGGAGCCATTTTCCTATGTTTGCAATCAATAGGAAAATTGACAGTATACTCAACCCAAGACGGTCTGCTCTTTCTGTGTCATCTGATAAATTTTTTGTTCCACAATATAATTTGAAGGCAAATATATCTGCGTCTAATACAATGGCATTTTCATCAAAGGAATATCAGTTCCACACACACCAAGTATCTGATGAAAATATGACTCGCTGCAAATCTGCAGCAGTCATCCAACCTCATCAAGATGATTGTCTCGGTCTCAATTCTGACCATGCAGGAAGAAATCTGAAAGGACATTTGTCAGTTGAAGAATCGTGCTCTTGCAGTAAGGATGAAACTAACTCCCTTGGTAGCCCATCAAAAGGGTCACCTTATCAGTCTAGCAAGAATAAAGACATATTTTCAGCAAGCAGAAAAGACGATGAAATTGTTGAAGCTTTGTTGGAACAGAAGTTAGGAACATCTGAAAGATGCCAAAAACAACAGGATTGGGAGGAAGTAGTATTTTATGAGCCAGCATTAGATAGACAATACCAGATGAAATCAGTTGATGCTTCTTCCATTGGCAAGGGCATTGATGTGGACATTAATGGCCAAGGTGTGACATTTCCTAATTTGTTACAAGGTGAACAACAATATCGCAAAGTGGATTCTGCTGTGAATTTCACAGAGATCTCCAAGTTACTGGATAAAATTGAAAAGGCACCAGTAATGAAGAGCAAAGGTGAAGCACTGGCTTGTAGAAAACCACCAAGGCAAAAATTGACAAATAGCAAGCAAAAAGGGTCCTGCTTATTTGAAATGTTAACGGTACCATCCAAATCACATCTCACATGCTCCAAAGATCCAACATATTCGGTGAATTCTCGCAGTAACACAAGCAGATGTTCATTGGAAACACAGAAACAGTTCTCGACAAAAACAGATACATTGTACAGCGATACTCATGATGCATCAAAATCCATAGCAGGTGAGACGGTTATGAAATAATCTAGTATAACTTGACTTACCTTCTGAACATCTGGTGCACCTGGATGACAGAACTTACGTATTTATCAGGTTGTTTGTGTCAAAATGTGCCATCTGATAATCTACATACATTCTTGAACTACCTCTGCTCATTGTAATGTTAATGACTTGTTTGTTCTGGTTTCTTTGCAGGGTTCGCTTCAACGTCAACACAAAAGGTACAATTCCACTTTGCTTCATGTTAATTTACTATGTGCAACCAAAAGATAGTCTGGTTTTCCAAGAAACATGAAGGCATTTATGCAGTCATAAAGATTATTTAGTAGTATATGACTTTATTCTTGTATGAAAGCATGCATTTCAATTGAACAAAATTAGGAAAGAAAAAAAGATCAAGGAAATCATGAAAAATCAGAAACATGTAAAGAAGGGAAAATACAAACATATCAATC